GCGGAGACTCGAAACCCCGACCTTACGATTGAAAGCACGAACCTCAACCGCCGCGCCAAACTGCCGCTGTAGGCGTTTACCATCTGAATATCCGATTGAATAGTAGGGCTATATAGGCCTATGCTCCTACATTGTTTTTTATTTGATTTTAACATGTATAATGTCTTTATTACATGTATTTCATAATTGGCCTACAATGGTGGGTATTCCTATATTAAATGCTTTATTTATTGCCACATGTTATAGGGCGGAGACAGATTCTAGGGTGTGTGGAGTTGCAGCCAGCCGGGGCCCCATCATTTGTAAAAATTAAAAGAAAATGTACGGCATATTGTCAAAAATGTCGTATTAGAGTGCTAGTAAGAGGAGGCCCCGTGGCCTCTCCGGGGCTTATTTGGATTTTGGACTGGGTGTTCCCAGATGTGTATAAGAGACAGCTACTGGAGACATATCCGCCTTTTATTATATTTTATACCATTCCAACATTTAAATAATAAGCTCTATTGTACTTGCATTGCAAATTATTCCTATAAATTAGTTTTAATTCTACTTTAGCTGATTCGTATGTCAATGAAAATAAAATTAACATTACAAAAATTCAGACAAAGATTTATTTTGACTATGAAAGGTTTAGGTCTACGAATTCTGGATTAGGTCTATTTTCAATTATCATTTCGATACCACGAATTATGTTGTTCAACATGATAAGACCAATCTATATAAAATGGCTATCGTTATTTATGTGATAGTGCTGTAGGCCTATGCTAAATCCTTTCCGAGCCACTAACTAGCAGGGCCGGCGGAACGTTTTTCAAAGTGGGGGGGCCCACTTATAAGATGAATGGGAATATGAATCATGCAGATCTGGAAAAACCTAGGGGATGGGGGGTCAACATTTTTCCCAAAAAGGAAAGGGGATCCGGGGGTCCTCCCCCGGGAAATTGTTGATTTCTAGATGGCGGGAAATGACCTTTCTCGACTTTTAAGCTAGGTTTCTAATGACTTTGTTCTTCAGAATTCAAGGTTTCCAAAGAATAGGG